TACGTGTTTGAGAATTATACCACGGAGTCAGGTACTTCTGATTAGAGACCTTAGTTTTCACAGGAGCTACAGTATCCAGAGTCGTACGTAGTGAGGAGGTGAAATTATTAACAAGATGGTCGACCTCTGTTGGAGCAGCATTCAGATAGCTGCTCTGCTCTGTGTTGGTACAGAGCATTGAAGATGATAACAGTGGGTGGATTATATTCTTAGGATGATCTTGACAGACGTCTTTGCAACCATCTAGCTTCACTTAGGAAAACATTTGCACATCAAGAAAGATTCTTCTTCAGCCACTTTAAAGCCCTTTGAGTGCTCAGTCAGTAGAATAGTGCTATATAAGAACCGGTCCATTTACCATTTATTTACCAAGAACTCAAATATTTATTGATTAGAGCATTTGAATGATTTATAATCCTGTCTTCCATGCACTTGAGCAGCTCCTCAGTGTATGATGAAATAGATGCTGTAAGATGAAGAGATATTAGCCACAAATGGTAAACGGCCTGTATTTGTATAGCGCTTTACAGTCATCCACCCATTCACACAAATGTCATTGATTATCACGGTTTAGATAAGTGTGTTTGCATTTGTGCAATTATTTTGAACTGTGGGTGCTGATTTTAAGTACAAGTAGCAGTGATGTCCCGTCTGAAGCTGAAGCTCCAGTGCGTGCCCAAAAAACGAACACACTGCTTCAGAAGCCCTGTGCCGAGGCGTGGGTCGTCTGAAAAGAGTCACGTGATTGATGACATCTGAAGCTTCATTTGTCAAACCCCCGATTCAGTGGTTAATGACGAATTGAAGGGAGGATAAGAAGGACAGACGCAACAACATTGTCATCCCCTATGTAGCCGGTGTATCAGAGAAACTCAGGAGAGTTTTCTCCAAGCATGACATCCCGGTGCATTTCAGACCCAGCAACACGCTCAGACAAAAACTGGTTCACCCGAAAGACAAAACGCCAAAACACAAACTTAACAATGTGGTGTTTGCTGTACAGTGCAGCGAGGAATGCTCAGACCTCTACATTGGAGAGACCAAACAGCCACTTCACAAGCGCATGGCACAACACAGAAGAGCCACCTCCACAGGACAAGACTCAGCAGTCCATCTGCATCTAAAGGTCAAAGGTCACTCTTTCGAGGATGCCAATGTTCACATTTTGGACAGAGAGGACAGATGGTTTGAAAGAGGAGTGAAAGAAGCCATCTATGTCCACTGTGAGCGACCATCTTTGAACAGAGGCGGGGGTTTACGACACCAACTCTCTGCCATCTATAATCCAGTTTTGAGATCCCTTCCCAGACGCCTTAACGCCCACTCACATCCTGGGCCATCTGACCTCAGGAATTCGCATGATAAGGTGGGGCCAGGTTTCACAATCGAAACCTCTGGTCACACCCGTTACACCTCACTGACTCGGCTGATAGTGGGGATCACAGAGCCACCACCTGCGAGGACCAAATTTCACACCTTGGCTCAGGCGATTAGAGGATCATCAGGGGGTCCTTTTGTCCCTCTGTGGGGGGCGACTCCCACTGGGTTTATATCTGGGACTCTCCACCATTTGACCTTAGAACTGAAGAAGCTTCTCGGATGAGAGGTGAAACGTCTTCAAGCAACTTAAAGAAGTCCAGACGCTTTTCTTTGCAAGCTCCTTTGACTATGATGACCTGGATGACTGAGAACCTTCACAGACATAACGAATTGAATCATTGGTGATTTTTTTGCGGCAGATGGCGAACTAGTGTGCGACATAATGAGAGTAATAATTTGTAAGAAAACACAGCTGCAGTATATCTAAACGTATCACATGGAGGCAGGGACTTCACTGCACAAGCATACTCCCAACCTATTATAACATCGTGTTGTACTTAATATATAGTGTTTGTTTTTTTAATTAATACAAAACATCAAGAAGTCACAAGCAGAGGGAGAACACACCATGGTGCATGGTTACACGAGGAAGGTAAAAAGCACCACATCAGCCCGATGTCAGACTGAACTGTCACATTATCATGTTAAACAGAAGCTGTCATTTCAGCTCTGAGTGGCCAATCATAATGCAGCACTTCACTTCAAGATTCAAGCTGCTCGTCATATTTTTGGCACCAGGTGTCACCAAAGAGCTCTGTGTTGAACCGTCTTTAAATACAAGGCTCAGTGCTTCGGTGCTTGGCAGGTTATGATGAGGGTGTGGCTTATCAGCAGATGGGTATAACGCCACTAGTGCTCCACAGAGCTGCCATGTTATGTTGGTAAATATAACAAACGTGGACTGTGCTGTAGTCCCGTCTATGCCTGCAATGATTGCAGCCCTGCTGCTCACGGTCATTCGTTACAAGGCTGCTGAGCGTTTCTCCATCTCTCACCTCTTTTTACTCACCGTGTGTTTATGCACCACTCTGACATTAGTCATTAGTCAAACACACAAACTGTCGCAGGAGATGGACTACCTGAGAGATGGACTACCTGAGAGATGGACTACCTGAGAGATGGACTACCTGAGAGATGGACTACCTGAGAGATGGACTACCTGAGGTTAAAAGGGAGTTTTCCCTTCTTCTGTCACCAAGTGCTCACACAGGGTCATCTTCATGTTGGTTTTTTCTGCATTATTGTTGGGTCTTTATGTTACAGTATAAAGCACCGTGTTGTTGTGGTTTGGTGCTATATAAATAAAGTTGAATTGAAATCCTTACCCGTGTCCTCCTCTAGATGTCCTGGGAGGACGTGAAGAAAGAGATGGTGAATGAGAAGGGCCTGTCAGAGGAGGCTGCCGACCAGATTGGGGAGTACGTCAGCATGCAGGGTGAGACTGTACCCAACATCCACACAGCTGATGTCTGTAGAACAATCAGCATGACCTGGACTGTCAGCTGTTCAGCGGCGGCATTTTTTAGCTCTTTTTCTTCAGCATCAAACAAAATGTGGTCCAAGCTTATGCTGCACTCCCACAGACTCAGAAACACAACATTAAACATTTTATCTTGTACCACCACAATGATGAAATAGAGCATGCCAAGGGAATCGCTTGTGCCACACACAGACTCACTGTGTGCTGGATGTAATGCAGGTGGAATGGACCTGGCTGAGCGCCTCCTTCAGGACCATAAAATGTCTCAGAGTAAGCAGGCCTGCGCTGGCCTCTCAGACATCAAACTGCTCTTCAAGTACCTACAGCTCTTCCATGTCACAGACAAGGTGAGAAACTGATCTTGGATTTCTCTGGTATAGGATTCCAGTATGAGTGCTCTATAGCAATGATCTGGTTTCCATGTGGACAAAAAAGGTTTTATACTGGTCATGCAACCCTGTGAAAAACTAGCACACCCTTACTGGTTTTCAGGGTTTTCCATTAGGTCATGGTACCTGGTACCATTAGCATACTAATTATGTCACGGGACGCTCGGCCGTGTTGCTATAGCAACAATCACGCACTTTAGGTGGTACTGGATTGTAAGTGAAAACCAGTCGATCCGAGTTGAGTGAACCTTGGCAAGTGAATCCGAGCAGGTAAATGGAAAAGGGGCTTTTGTTTCGTCTCTCTGTTGTTTGTTTTTCCGTTCTTCATTCTTCCCTGCCTGGATACGGACTTTGATATTCTGCCTTCTCTAGGTGGTGTTTGACCTTAGTCTGGCCCGGGGTCTGGACTATTACACTGGAGTGATCTATGAAGCAGTGCTGACTCAGGCAAGCGCAGTCTCAGCCGCTAATGAAGCTCAAAACGGCGCCAATGCAGAAGAGAGTGTGAGCGTGGGCAGCGTGGCGGGAGGGGGCCGATACGATGGCCTGGTGGGCATGTTCGACCCCAAGGGGAGGAGAGTCCCCTGTGTGGGTGTCAGCATAGGTATCGAAAGGATCTTCTCCATCATGGAGCAGAAGGCTGAGGTAATGTCTCGCCTGATATCTGTGAAATAAAATTTAAGCTGGAGCAGCTTTACTGTTCTGTGAATGATGCACAAGTTCAACAGTGACATTATTTTATTGTTCAGGCCTCACCGGAGAAGGTGCGCACCACAGAAGTTCAGATCATGGTGGCATCTGCTCAGAAGAACCTGCTGGAGGAGAGACTGCAACTCATCTCTGAGCTCTGGAATGCTGGCATCAAGGTAGGTGTGTGGCAGGGGGGTGTCAGGACAGATCAGGGGGGAGATACCGTCAACAACCCCACCCTAAGAGTTTGGGTACCTTGTGTATCCACCAGGGGGAGCAGTGTGGCTGCTTTATCCGGTCTTTAAGTCTGACTTCATCAGCCGTTTCTGTGTCCAAACTCTGCTTCAGCTCCCAAAGTCAAACGAACACTGTGGCATCACTGAGAGTTAAAAACTATTTATATTCATCTTTAATCATCAGTGTTGCTGCTTTACCAGGTGTAACAATTAAGTTTAACATCCGGGCATCCATGAAGACAGAAGTTATTACATTTAACGGAGTTAGAAGTTAGCAAGCAAACAATTTATTTATATAGCACTTTCAGAACAACTCCCAGCTGAACACCAAGTGCTGTACACTGGACATGCCAGAAATGATACACAGAATAAGTTAAAATAAAGTTAGCAGGAAGTTAGCTCACTAGTTTGCACCTAGACATGATGTAGCATGTTCTGACTCAGAGACTTCTGAATAAATTCAAACGTACAGCTCTGCTATCACTTCCAGCATAAATGAAGACAGAAAACTAAACAGCAGTGACGTTTGTAGGGTTACTGAAGTTGGGCTAGCTGGTATATAATGATGTGCTACGTGACCGCTAGCGACACAGCTATGCTAGCGTAACATAAACCACAGGTTCCCAAAGTGTGTGTGTGGGGGGGCAGAGCCATTGCAGGGGGGGCGCGGTATGAAAAGAAAAAAAGAACACTTGGACACTGCTAGCATCATGGACAAGTGTTTGATGGGGCGCCTACACAAACGCAAAGCAGGAGATGAAGCATCGCTGAATATGTTTCCAAACCAACTTCCTTCCAAGCCAAAGACTAGAAAATATGTTGAAGCAAATCTTCCCTTTGGCTTCACCTGGATTGGTTTTCCCTGCGTCGGGAGCAGCACTGGGCTCTTCAAATCACGGACAAACAGGATCCCACATTCTTGATCTTTAGTTCACAAACACTTGTTGTAATGACTAACTACTCCTGACATGTTGGAGATGTTTGCTCTTTATACAGTAAAGTTACAGCGGGATACAAATAACATCAGGCTGATCCTGCCACGATTTGTTTCCTCGGTTCAAATCACAGACAAACAGGATCCCACAGCTGTTTATGTTTTTAAACCCATTTTGCACAGAAAAGCATTTTTTGAAAAATGCATTGATGTTGAATATTATTACACAGGAAAAAAAACAACTACACGTAAAATAATCACACGGTGACGCCTCTGCCTTTGTAAATGGAGGGACAGTAACTGTGTGTAAACCTGCAGACAGTCAGATTAACAGTATTTCGTCTCTTATCATTCTGCAATTCATCTCATGTAAACAAAAACGTGGCCACAGTGTGACGTGGAAAAAGGCACATACCTTTGACGTTGCGTGATGAACTCTGTATTCCTCGTCCACACGTAAACGCAAAACAGGGGTTTTAAAAAAATCTGTTTTCGGTGACTCGAAACGCCGTTTACGTGTGGACGAAACGCTGCGTTTTCAAAAATACCCGTGTAGGTGTTAGTAGTTTATTTTATTACTACCTGTAAGTTATTGCAGGTTACTTGTATTTGCTTAATTGTTTACTGAATGTTTGAGGTGTGAAATAAACTGCAATGGAGCAAAATATGGGCGTGTGTGGTTGGAGGATGTGTGCGTGCGTGCACGCGGGGAGGGGGGGCGCGAACATTTTTCTTGTAAAACAAAGCCCAGCAAAAAAAGTTTGGGAACCACTGAAAGATACAAAACATGAAAACATGTTAAAAACACCACAGCCTTAACAAAGACTGAAGCAGGGTTGATATGTCATCACTTACAGACCAGATACTGCAGTCATAATTATGATGGAGTCATTATGTTCAAGCCTGTCTTAATGAGCAGGCCAGCTGCTCTCCATCCCCACAGACTAATATTTTTTAAACTATGCAATCAAGAAATTATTAACAACTGGTGGAAGCTTTTTAAGACTGACAATGAATAAATAAACACAACACATAAATCAGCTTTCACAGACAGGTAAGACAGCCCAGTCATTAGCATTACAGCACATGTCAGTGCTGTCTATTGACCAGCGATCGACTACGGTGGTGTGAAAAAGTGTTAGCCCCCTACCTGATTTACTGTATGTTTGTCACACGTGAATGTTTCAGATCATCAAACAAATGTAATGTTAGACAGAAATATTACAAACTGCATTTTGTGTTTACTTATGTCATCTTTGTCTAATATTTAAATTTGTTTGATGATCTGAAACATTTAACTGTGACAAACAGGAAAAAATCAAAATCATGAAGGAGGCAAACACACCACTGTATGTGTACTGGTGAGCTGACATCGGAACAGTAAAGAGTGTGTGTGTGTGTGTGTGTGTGTGTGTGTGTGTGTGTGTGTGCGTGTGTGTGTGTGCGTGCACGTAGGCTGAGGTGATGTACAAAAAGAACCCCAAACTGCTGAGTCAGCTGCAGTACTGTGAGGAAGCAGGAATCCCCCTCGTGGCTATACTGGGAGAACAGGAGCTGAAGGATGGAGTGGTGAAGCTGCGTGTAGTGGCAACCAGAGAGGAGGTATGATGCACACACACCAAGTCATTGTAATTACACACATAAAGAAATGCTCACACACACGTCACGTTATCTTGCTGCCCCCCCCTCTGCTGTTTGTGCGCAGGTCGATATATCCAGAGCAGATCTTATCAGTGAGATCAAGAGGAGAACTGAGGCTTAGCCGCTTCCTGCTTGTTTAGCCATAAACCAGCCGCGTTATCTCATGGGCTCTTCAGAACCGTGTACAGAATTCCTTCCCTGGTCCACTACAGAACAAGTTGAACAAGAGCCCTGCAAAGACACAGCAGCCACGTGGACTGGTGTTACACAGCATGTGGTGCTCATGAGCACACATGCTGGGAACATGTTTAAATGAATGATGTTGCTTGTAATGTGCTTTCGGGTGTGTAAAAGATGCCTCACTCGTTGTCATTGTTCACATTGTTCAGTAGGGTCTCTGGTGAAGAGATGGTAGATGTAAATCACACCAAAACAGTCAGTGCACTATTTTAAAAATACATAGGAGGATAGCTGTAGTGTTTAAGACCAAGACTGAGAAAATGTTACACATTTGTTTTCTACATGAATCACGTCATGATTTACTGCAGTTAAAGTTCTAAGAATGCTCCTGTCTGTATAAAATATCCTGTACTGCCCAGTGTCTCAAATAAAAAGCTTACATTTTGCTCAAACCTGGGAAAAGCTTCTGGTTTCCACATCTGTGAGAATGTGAAGGTCCTCTTGGATGAAGACGATGCTCCCACCACCAAACTCCAAGCTGCCAACTTTACATGTGTCTTTTAAAGGGCTTAAAAAAGTCCAATAGAATTACTCAGCTGATAATGTGCTGGGGTTGTCCTTAAGCAGCATCATTAGAAGGCACAGCATTTCATTGCTATGCAGCTGCATTGACACCTGACGCTGTGCGATGGGCACACTGATGGTTTTGAACCTCGTGGTCGGCTCAATACTTGGGATGCGTTTCCTCTGGGCACTCGTGTGCTAATCCTGCAGCAGTGCATCTCAAAATATGAAAATATTGTGACGCTCTATTATGTATTTCAGAAAGATAAACTTGATCACCACAACCTCAAGAGGCTCATCGTGAAAGTAGATCTCAGCTGTCTTACCTAATTATGGATGTTTAGTGGGCTTTAGTGAAGGTGACAAATGATCGTATGGCCTTTGACAGTGGGCTCATCTCTGCTTGTCCTCCCAGACCTCAGTGCAATATTTAACACTGTTGAGCATGCTGTAGGTGCAAACAGATTTACTCCAATTTGGTCATGTAAATGGAGTGGTCTTCAGTTCTGTGCTAGTACCAATTCTGTCCATTACGCATGCTTTCCTTAGGCAGTATCACTGGAAGGCACAGCATATTCATTGCTATGAGGCTACCCAGCTTTAGCTATTAAAGGGAGATGACACACACCATATTAGTTAGGCTGCAGGGATGTCTTAAAGATGTGGATGACATTGAATTTCCTGCTTCTAAATTCAGATAACACTGAGGTTATTGTACTTAGCTTTAAAAATCTTAGAAACATGGTATCCAACCACATACTTAATGTGGATGGCATTACTTCGGCTTCCAGTAACACTGTGAGGAACCTTTTTAGTCATTTTTGAGCTTCTTGAATGTGCATGTTAAACAGTTATGTAGGACTGCTTTCTTGGATTTGTGTAATATCTCTAATTAAAACTGAAAAACTTCCTGTCTCAGAATGATGCTGAAAAACTGATTTTTGCATTTAATACTTCTGGGCTGGACTATTATAATGATCTAACATTGGACTGAAAAACTCCCTGATAGTCAGTTGATACAAAAATGTGAGAGTACTGACAGGGACTAGAACGAGAGCAGATTTCTCCCATATTCTGTTAAATCCAGAATCAAATGTAAAAATCCTTCTCATACAGAACTGTTGATGTAACTGAGATATAAATAAAATTGACTTGAAGTGCTGACAGGGTGAAGAAATTGGTCTTCTTGGGATGTCCATTTCGTGGCCCGTCTCTGATATCCTCTGTTGTATTAAACTTGATCTTCAGTTTGGAAATACTACTTGGTTTCGTGGAATACGAGCTTCCACGAACATCAAACATGGCTTTGAGCACAGATAAGCTGAAGTGGATCTGAGTCCATGCTCATAGGTGCAAGTTTTGCTGGCAGCTTTTATTTGTTTTGTTTTGTGCCCATCAAAATAAACTCCAACACTGCATAGATTCTCAGCAGGGCTGGATTCGGCTCCCACATTAATAATTGACATATGAAATGATCTCGGGGGCCAAATGTAATTGTATAAAACAGCCCTGGTTTAGAGCCTGTTTCTACCCAATGAACCATCACACAGACCCACTGTATGCTTCTCATATGTCTCAGTTTATCTGTGTGCAGTTACCTGGAGGGTCAGAAGCTATTTCCTCTGTCACAGTTGTTCAAACAAATCCTCACCTTTAGTAGTGCCGTGCACGGCTTACAAAGACAGCAACTCCTCCTTCATTTCAAAGTCGCCCGTAATCCCACGCACAAAAGTTTCTAGCTGTGCTGTGTTTGTGACGTCTGCTGTCTCATCACAGGCCAGAGAAAAGTTCCCCACCCCTGATGTACAGCATTTAAACCGCAGCACTCCGACGTTAACGCTGTATTCACGTTCATCCGGTTGCTTGAAAGTAGTGATGGTGACTTTAGCTGATGCTGTCACCGTATCTACGTCCAGCTTTGAGATGGTGTTGGTGTACTTCAAGCACGTAGGTCTGGATGGCAAACCTAAGGCCTGGGGCCCAGAATCGGCCTGGCAAAGGCTCTAATATGGCCCACTTGATGGCTTTGGAATATATGAAGGAGGGCACAGATTTTGGACTTTAAAACTGTATTTTAAAGTTTTATCAGATTTTCCTACTGATAGAGTCCTCTCCCATTTGTATTACACCAAGTAATGAATTAGATTAGATACTTTTTACTTTAGACTAAAAAAAATAAATGCATATAAATAAATGAAACTTTGTTGAATTACTGAAGAACTCTGTTTCTTAATTACAAGTGTCCGGGCACTAAGCTAAGAGAATCTTTGCAGTAATTTTACACATTTATTTATTTGTTCTGCTGCATTCACAGAATAATCACTTACAGTCATACAAAACTGAGCCATACTGTTAAAACTGCACTTGTTTTTCTCATATTAATTGCAATTAAATGTGTCTTGAAACATCTTTACACTGACAGAAAGGGCAGTTTCACTGGTTTGGCCTACTTAAGATCACAGCGGGCTGTAAGTGGCCCACGATGTAAGCTGAGTTTGACATCCCTGGAGTAGGTTATACGAGGGCTGGGAACTAAAGCTGCGCCTGATGCTACACACCCAGAATAAACCAGCGAGATAGTGTCTTATTAAACATGGAAAGCATTGTTTACAGCTGCTGCTGTGCTACTGAATGTTTGTTAAGGAATCAACACAAACTGAATGCAACAAACTCGTCCCCAAAAATGTGATTTTGGAACACATGGAATTAGGGCTGCTCGATTATGGCAAAAATGATAATCACGATTATTTTCACTGACATTGAGATCT